CAGCCCGGGTCCCCTCACCGTGTCCCCTCTTCCCCACGGCCCTGCCAACTGTCCCAGCCCGGGTCCCCTCACCGTGTCCCCTCCTCCCCACGGCCTAGCATCACAGCCAAACTCATCAACGGAGGCTTAGCGGGGCTCGTGGGAGTGACCTGTGTGTTCCCTGTGGACTTGGCCAAGACCCGGCTGCAGAATCAGCGTGGCACCGATGCATACCGGGGCATGTAGGTGAGGGGAGGCCCTGGGGAGGCTGGAAGGGTGGGCCTCAGGGCACCTCTGACGTCCTCTCCTGGCCTCTGCTCCTAGGACCGACTGCCTGATGAAGACGGTGCGAGCAGAGGGCTTCCTGGGCATGTACCGTGGTATGCTTCCCACAGGGCCTGGCTTGGGTCTGGGCAGTGGGTGGCAGGAGGCCTAGACCTTGGGGGCCTGCAGTACTGGGTACTGCTTGCTTCCACCCAGAGGGCTGCAGGGTCGAGGCCTGGGTGCTGCTGGGGCTGCTGAGCATGCCTACCCTGCTGGAGGAAAAGGCGGCTGTGTGCTGGTAAGATCTCTGCAGTCTCAGCATTTTGCTAAGTGCCTCAGACTGGCCTTGAACTTGTGATTCTCCTGCCTCAGCCTCCAGAGAGCTAAGATGACGGGCATGTGACAGAATACAAAGCTAGCTATGGGAGCGTGGTGGTGCATGCCTGCAATCCCAGTGCTGGGGAGGCTGAGACAGGAGGATCACTATGAGTCCGAACTGCGTAAGTGAAGCCTTTACCAAGTAAATAAAAACATAAAAAAAAAGCTAGTTATGGGAGGCTGAGGCCAGAGCATCCCAACCTCAAGGCTCGCCTGGGTTCTCAGCAAGACTGTCCCAAGAGAGGATCTCCCCATCTCTCTGCCCTCAATCCTCTCCATGTCCTAAGCAAAGCTCATCTGCTTTTATTTCTGCTTCTCTGCTGCACTGCCAGCAAAAACCCCTGACATTTTGGTGCCGTGACTCAGATCAGTGAGTTGTGCGGCTTGTGGGTTGGAGCTCCCCCACTGAGCCGCCTTCGCCTTCTGCCTCTGCTTCTGCCGCCTGCGGCTGCTACCTGACATCCAACACCGCCCATCTCAGTCCTCACTGGTGAGCCCAAGCTCATCTCTACAGGAGTCTTGTTCATTTTTTTTCTTTCTCGCATCTCGAAAATCGTGAGCTCACGACAGGACCCCTCTTCCACGTCTGTCTGAACCCCAGACATGACCTTTTGCTCATGGCAACTGCTAAAGCAGATGTGGCCTTCTCTCTTATACTCACTCTGGGTTAGAAAGTGACAGCCGACAGGGGTGATGTTGAGCTTTGTATTAATCTTTGCCTCACCCTAATTCGGTCATCGTGGGAAATATTCCTTCCCGTCCCCCAAAGCACACCCCACTGGGTTGTCTCCTAAAGAACCTCAGTGCCCTCAGACTTCGAGAATATCTCAAACCCAGATGACTAATTTTGTACTGCCAGATGGCTTGGCCACAATGTAAACTGAACAATGGCAGCCAATGGCCTCAAGAGGTAACTTTTTTTTTTTTTTT